TTTGTCTGTGTGTAGTAAATATCTGTCTCAAGATAAATTGGATCTGCGACCCAAGATTTATGCCCCCATGCTAGTGGCGATACAGCATCTGTTATGGTTGTACTGGCCCACACGGGATTGGCAGTCTCGATTGCAATTAATGCATGTGAAGACGCTCTTCCCTGATATCGCCTTGTTTTCTTTCTTTTGAGCCTTGGTTTCCCTTTTTCTCCCCCCAACCTTCGGTATAAATCGTCTTCTCAACTCTTGGTGTCCATGTCAATCGCTCTCATGTTCCTTTTGCAGACGTTCTTGTAGCGAAGATGAGGTCGTCCTCGTGCCCTCTTGCCCTCTTGCCGGCGACCAGTTCCCCGTACAGAAGGAACTTCGGAATCCTCCCATTCGACATACGGTGTAAATGTCCAAGCCAGCGGAGCCGACGCTGTTGGAGAAGGGCGAATACGTGACTGGCTACGGCATTGGTGACCCGGTCAGAGAATGCGTCTCAGACAGCAAAGATGAAAGGCACTGAGGCGTCTCTCCTGTCTGGAGTAGTGGCTCCAAGTCTCGTTTCCGTAGAACAGCATGCTGACGACAAAACATAACACCAATAAGCAGCGTATAGAATAATTACATCAAACTTGGTATAAAGATAACGAAAAAAATGAGAAAAACGGGAGTCAATTGCTGAAACCTCCTGATGAGTGGACTGAACGATTAAAAAGGGGTCGTCAACGAAACTCTGGAGTCGAGGTGTTCAATATAATATCAACAAGATGAATGACAAATTTTATTTATATTAATCCTATATATGTGTGTGTGTGTGGGTGTGTGAGAGTGTGTGTGTGCGTAAATTCAATCGTATTAAAATGTTGGATTTAAAGAAAAAACCATTATCGATCTCGACCTTCGCCCTTCCACACGCATTCTCTTTATATATCTCTATATATATATATATATATATATATATATATATATGTGTGTGTGTGTGTGTGTGTGTGAAAAGTGTGTGTATATAAATATAAATATATATATATATATATATATAATTATATATTATATGCGCAGTACTTATTAGAAAGGGCTCAATATCAGAGATAGAACTAACATATTTGGAAATCGTCGTCGTAATGTCACTCATGCTCACGCAAACATAGATGCACGACGTTCCCCCCCACTCCCATAATAACACCAATACACGCAATCTACATAAATCCAAAATTTAAAAAAAAAATTAATCAGTTTGTCTGACGATCGCAAAAGCGTGAAACGCAAGGTCACAAACTCACATCAATCCAATCATATATATATATATATATATATATATATATGTATAAGGTAAGTCATGATGTGGTAACAAAACAATGCTCGATGTATAATAATCAAGCTGAAATTTATACTAACAATATATATTTCCCTTATATGTATATTGTTGATACCTGATAATTCATAAATTACTTTTCTGTTAACTGGGGGCGAACCTGGCTACCTTTCAGGTTGCATTAATATAGTTGAGAAACACTGTGTTAGTATATGAGAACCCGCTCTCTCTTTCTCTCTCTCCATGTCCCCCTACAACAGGGCAACGAAATCAACGTGTCGAAATAGATTTAATATTTAAAACAGAAAATTAAAACATGGTTTGGTGAATTCAAGTCTTGCCTCAGGAGGGCACGAACCCTGGACTAGAAATAGGAAGAAGGAAATGAGAATTTATTTTTGTGGCTGATAAAGTAAGATTGGTGTATTTTCAAGGGCCGATATCAGTGCGAAATATCTTTTCGAGCAGAATAGGATTGGTGTGCTGATAAGTGACACTCGCATATATGTTTTTTTTATCAACTTCACCTGAATGATAACAGGGTTGTTTGAAAAGGGTTAGTACAAGTTTTGAAGCTGAAGACTAGAGAGGAACCAGATGTTCTTTTTCTACGATAATCAACTACGATATTTATAATTATCATTATTTGGGATTTCTAGCGAGGAATCCTTCACTAGTAGCAGGGCCATCTGGTTAATTTAGGGGAATATAGAGATAATGAAATGTGAGTTATGGGCATTGTGAATTGTCATTTTTGGGGGCCTGGCTAGGTAAAGTGAAGTCATTAATTATTGTTGTCGGGAAAGATTTCCCCATATATTTTGTTCAGCAGTCATTTGAAAGTAGAAAACGAACCCTGCATTTCGCCGAATACACAGCCATATTGAAGACTTATTGTATTCTACTGCAGACTTATTTTTTCTCTTCACATTAAATTCTGTTAAGTTTACAGGACGTATTTTGCTTTGTTTATCAAAGAACGTTTCTCCCTCTCATTCCAACCACTAACATTTGATCGTAACCAGCACCAGAAGCGAAGGGGTACCACGCTCAGCAGGAGATCGATTTCGTTGATTTTATGCAGAGACACGACAGAATTTGGGTCCAACCACTGACGATCGCTGACAAGTGGTACAGGGAAAGACCTAATTTGTCCAAATGAGGTGGAACAGAGAAATCTACTAGCCTTGTTGGCACTTGTTCCCGGGCATTATGTTATATTTAGTGCAGCAAACTAACCAGTTGTAATTGAGTACTGTGACAAGGAGCTGGTTATATATAGTGCCGTGTAATCAGGTTAACACCCTATCAATTCAATCCGGGACGCAATCGGGGACGTCAGGAAAAGGACCTATGGAATCCTCGATACTTGCCTGTCACCCACTACGGGAAGATGCACTCTTCCCCAAATTAACCTTTAACCAATCACCGGTTGACTTTTCCAAACTCAACTTCCCATTGGTTAAAAGGACACAAAAATGTAGCAAATTGAGACAAATTCATTTTTTCCCGCGCTGGAGCCTATTTAAAAACCCAAAAATCTATAAAAAGAATCGCTCGACTTAATTCAGGTCAGTCAGACACTAAATTTTGAGAGATGGCAGCAGACTCCACGCGTGCCAATACACCGACTCAATAACACTACCAACCTCTCATCAACTCAACACAACTCGCACTACTATTGCCGCGTGAAGAAACTTAACTTACAGTTTACTAAAAAAGTGACATTATCACTACGAAATAGTAATTGTACATTTAATCAATTTTAGCATATCAGTCAAAGGTACACAACTCTTCCTAACTTGAATCAACACTTACAATTGTCACACACATACACACTATTATTTGAACTCACACAATTGACATTTTACCTTGCAGAAATCAAACTGTTTTAATTTCACAAACTTAAACCATCAACATTCATTCACCAAATCTCTGCATGGACACTCTTTGCAATCTTATCTCACTTGCCACGTTTAACAAGCAATCTATCATCACTTTGTGTATGTCAAATATATATATATATAAATTCATGTTATTGTTGAAATCTATAACTACGTTGTTTTTCCTTGATTTCTTCAAGTTGTATTGTCTTCATATGTTTGTTTAATTTATTTGTTGTGAATAAATGCATAATGTACACGCACATTTAAGACCTTCACACAATTTCACCTTCTGACACATCTTACTTAGCATAAATTCCGCAACCGACCCAGCCAAACTCTTATATTTTCCCCTGTTTATCGTTTTGTGCAAGCGGTGTCCTGAAGGGACACGGCACATAGAAGATGTCGTTAGGGATTATTCAATGCGTTCCGCTTTTTCTTGTTTGTGACCCACTGAAAAAAACAACAACAACAAAAAAAATAAACAAAAAAACAAAACAAAACAAGACAAACAATCAATCAAATCAAGTTTAGTGTAGTTTTTTTTTATTCAGTCTAATTTGCAGAAAACAAACATGAAAAATATTTTATTTTATTTATCCTCATAAAAATAGGAGGTTTGATTAATCTCAAAAAGATAAAACATTAATTAACATTTAAGCTTTCCAAACTTCCTCTTCGAATTGTAATGACCTTAATCCTAACTTCCACTTGTCTCTTCAGGCAATTGGCTGTGATCGAACCCAAAACAATTACTCGAAGACGGTGCAATCTGAAAAATTGAAGAAAATACTTTTTTCATTGATCTGATAAGGTGACAGGGAATTGTTTTAACCAGAAGGTAATCATTTTTTAATCATTGAACAATTAGTACTTTAGATTTTTATCAAATATTAAACTATTTAAGATTACAAAACTTTCGACTTTGATAAACGCAATTTTGACTAAACTTAGATAAATTAATAATGGCGTATCTGGATGTTCCTGACTATTTTCTTTATTTTATTTTTCTGTTATTGCTATAGATAACAGAAAAACAGAATTAAGGAAATATAGGAAAAAGAAAGAAAGAATAATTAAATGAATAATTTTGGGAAAAAAGAGAATAATAAAAAGAAAGAATGAATGAATAAATGAATGATTGAATGAAAATTAAAAAGTAAAAAGAACATGAAAAAAACGCGAAAGAAAGACAATTATTTAAAAGGAAGGAAGGAAGGAATGAAAAAAGGAAGGAAGGAAAAAAGAACGCCATCAAAGTAAAGCAGCAAAGAAAGAAAGAAAGAAAGAAAGACAAAATGAAAGAAAGGAGAAAGAAAACACAGTTGAAAGAAAGAATAAATGAATGAAAATTAAAAAGTAAAAAAGAAGAAAGAATGAAAGGAAAGAAGGAAGGAAGGAAAAGAGAACATTCTCAAAAGAAAGCAACAGAACATTGAAGAAAAAAGAAAGAAAGAAATACAAAAAGAAAAGAAGAATAAAGGAAACTACGTTGAAAGAAAGGAAGAAAGAAAGAATGAATGAAAATTAAAAAGAAAAAGAGCAAAAAAAAAAAAACACGAAAGAAAGACAATCATAAAAATGAAAAGAAGGAAGAAAAAAAGAACACCATCAAAAGAAAGCAACAAAATATTGAAGAAAGAAAGGAAAACAAAATGAAAGGAGGAAGAAAAAACAACTTTGGAAGAAAGAATGAAAGAAAGAATGAATGAAAAAAAATTAAAAAGGTAAAGAGAAAGAGGAACACGAAAGAAAGACAATTATTTGAAAGAAAGAAAGGAATAAAGAGAGGGAGGAAGGAAATGAGAATATCATCAAAAGAAAGCAACACAGTATTGAAGAAAGAAAGAAAGAAAGAAAGAAAGAAAGAAAGAAAGAAAGAAAGAAAAAATAAATAAATAAATAAAAAAGAAAAAGAAAGAAAACATTGTTGAAAGAAAGAAAGAAAGAATGAAAGAAAGAAAGAAAAGGCAACAGAATTTGGGGAAAGGAGACAAATGTAAATAGAAAGAAAGAAAGAAAGAAAAAAGAAAGAAAGGAAGAAAGAAAGGGCAACAGAAATTGGGGAAAGGAGACAAATGTAAAAAGAAAGAAAGAAAAGAAAGAAAGAAAGAAAGAAAGAAAGAAAGAAAAAAGAAAGAAATGAAGAAAGAAAGGGCAACAGAAATTGGGGAAAGGAGACAAATGTAAAAAGAAAGAAAGAAAGAAAGAAAGAAAGAAAGAAAGAAATAAAGGGCAACAGAAATTGGGGAAAGGAGACAAATGTAAAAAGAAAAAAGAAATAAAAGACAACGGCGGGAGAAACGGAAAAAGCGAGTATTTAAAAATAAGGTAAAAGAAAGAAGCGAAGAGAAAAGCAGGAGAAAGGAAAGGAAACGGAATAACAGGCAAGGAAAAAAAGAAAAGAAGGCAGAAGAAACAGGAAGAAGAAAGAAAAGAAAAAGGAAGAAGGAGCTAGAGGAAAGAAAGAAAGAAAGAAAGAAAGAGAAAGAATAATAAAGGTTAGAAGAAGACGAGAGAAAGAAGGAAAATATCAATAAAGTCATCTCTCCAGTCGAACGTTCTCTGAAAATGTGCAATGCTCATCGAAACCGACTTAAAAAACTCTGATCCATACTACTTAAAAATAGTCGTAAAGATGTGTGGTATTTACCGGCATAGACACTGCACTCATATTTCAAACCAGATTGTCAAATAAAGCTAGATGCAGGGCTGACCTGCGGTTACACACGGACAACAAATACAGAAGTATGTGAACTCACAATATAAAATATTAAGTAATTAAGATTCAACTGTCGTGTTAACATGTAATCAGTGAATCCACTTAATTAAAAATGTAACTGCTTAGTGTGGTGATAAAAGATAATTAAAGATAGAAAATAAACTAGTCAAGAATTGCAGCGATAAAAACAGTCATTATTTTTAAAAAAATGTCAAGAAAAGGAAAAAAAAAACAACTTAAAAAACGATCGGTATCACCCTATGCAATGCAATAAATTCACTAAGACATAAGGGTTTACAGGGTGTGGAAGAATTAGTAACATAAAAATTAATAATGAGTGGGAAGAGGAAAGAGTAATTAGGAGAGCAGTAGATAGCAATTAACATTGTATTTAAATTTTTGCATATTAAAGTTGGCTGGAAAGCATGGAACCAGAAGGGAGTTCCACAAGCGAGAAGTGCGAGGAAAGAAACTCTTAGCATAGAACTCACGGCTATAGCTAGCCAGCTCGACTGTAAATTGTGGGATCTTGGCGCCAGATTAGTACTGCGCTTAAATTAAAAAAGTCTTGGTACCATAGCGAAGAGCATTATTTATTTGTAATATATATAAAATGTTGCACAAGCCAAAAGGGGAAATGGAGAAAAGGACGGTCTTCTTTTGTCTTAACGTTAAACTTAACTATCTACAAATACTGACCCAAACATACTACAATATTCCTTACACCAAAACAATACATTCTTTTTTACCATTCTTACTACAGCCACCATAATACCACAGAGTCTCTATGAAGTCCTAACTAATTCCCATATGTATAATTCATTGTCTGTTCGGTGGGGGTGGTAGGTGAATAAAAATAACAATTTAAAAACTATCCCCACTGTATATTTACAATATGAAAACAAAAACTATTTACAAGAAACCAAACAAAATAATGTACTATATTGAAGAGCTCATTTGAACAATTACCATTTAAAGTCTTTATAGAAAAGGCACAGAGAGGCAACCTTACGGTAGTGGGAAAGTGACTGAAGCCGAGCCGCCAGATCAGGACCAATAATATTGCTGATGCTTCTTTGGATTTTATCAAGGAGCACCGGGCCATATGTCGCAGCAATATTCTATGTGTCCTGGGGTTATGATAGAATCAACTTCACCCTGTGTTTTTTTTCAGAAGATGGCTTGTCGGTGTTAATCGAAACTGCCGGGGTCGGGATATGCTCACAAAGTTGAGAAAAAGATTCAGTTGGACGTCCCAAAGTTAACAATAGTCACTCTTTGATAAAAGAAGCTATTTTTATTGGTTCGATAGCACTTTCGAGAGGAGGCGGTGTATGTGACGCTGGGACGCACCGCGGTAGCTGACGGACGCTCTGTTCAACTTGACAATACTATCCGTGCAGTCTGGTGATCACTTTCCTCAAGCGGAGAATCGAAGCCCGGTCGCTGCGGTGTGAACACCGAATCCTAACTCTAACAAAACCACTTGGCAAATCTTGTTTTATATCTTGTTACCCTGCCTAAACAATATCCCATCTGATCTTTGTTCGACCAAAATAGTCTCACTTAACCTTATACACTCTTTAGGCAACATCATTCATCAAGGAAAGCATTTATCTTGCCATTACAGTTGACTACAATCGACAAATAACAGTATATTTAAATTTCACAGTTGTGTTGCCACATCCTGCTATAGCAACAATTAAGTAGGTGACCTACTTACTAAGAAATAAGTCTAAGCACAACCAGGCACAACGTCACACAGTAGACATGAAAAATAAGAGAACAAAAAATAAAATAAAATAAAAATAAAAACGACAACCCCCCCAAAAAAAACGCAATAAATTAACCGGTTATCGCTCCTCACTCGATCGACTTTTTTTAAATTATGAAATTTTAGATTTTCTATCGCTGTAATCAAAAATTGATAGTGAAAATACTTTCTTTCAGAAACTCAAAGATCATTAAGAATGTAGCAATAGGTTTTCTCACACAACCTTGTGAGACAAATAGACCAGGGTTTCTCAGGAATGTTGTCTCCAGCCCATCGTTGAGTAAATTTAATGATCAGGATTTTTCAGGAATTCTGTCTCCAGCCCACCTTTGAATTCTTCGTGATTTTAGATAGCCATAAAAGTAGGGTCTTTTGAAAAAACTGCCCCCCCCAAAGCTGTCTGGATGTTCCCTCTTTCTGGTTAGCTGGAACACAAGTGGACGGAAAAGGGTGGTGGGTCCATTAGCCAGTATCCATATAAGGAGTGGTCAGTGAAAGGACTTGTCAGTCAGTAGTAATTTTATAGTGGTGAAACGGCCATGTGTCATTGAGACGGTCAGGTAGTGAGTGTATCGAGGTCCTTTATCTGTGGCCGAAAGTTAGTGCGATGCCATGTTCGCTTTCTCGAAGTCGAAGGAAGTCATTGCCTATTAAGTTGATAAATCGTATTTTTTACTACTTCTCAACTAGTGTCTTGAAAAGCATTTGTCGGTATTTTTTGTTGATGTCGATCACGGCCCTGATATTGAAAAAAAGATTGTGGAGTATGGAGAGAGCCCGGTGTATTTGCATGCAGCCGAGATTGGATGTCATCACAGCTTGTACAGTAACGTGCAGAAACGCATCATCTCAAGAATAAATAGGAAAAAAAAGACAAAACAAAACGTCCAAGAATAAAAGTTACCTGTGGTCTCCTTGCAAACAGCTTTTCTCACTGAATTCGACACGAGGTTGAGGGTATTGAAGTTTTGAACTTGGAATAGATTTTGTGGAGTGGTTACAATCTTTTGAAGATAATCCATATTCAAATGTGAACCAATACCAATTGCAAACAACTCGATCTTCAATAACCTAAGATTTTGCGCCATTTTCAAAGTCCAGTCAGTGTCAACTGTATCACCATCAGTAATAACGAGTAGGACCTGAAAAAAGTAAAGTAAGACTTATCAATAGACAACATACAAAATGGATCAGACACAAGTGTTCATAATCATTAGCCCACGCTTAGACATCAAACCTGTTTTTCTTGTTGACGAGAAAGACAAGGTAGAAAGCATGCGGCACATTCACACATTGGTCGCAATTAATATGAACAAAAATAAATAATGGAGTTGTGTATCCACGGAACGGCATGTAAATAATAGAGGTGTGTGTCCACAGATCGGCATGTAAATAATTGAGGTGTGTATCCACAGAGCCGCATATAAATAATGGAGGTGTGTATTCACAGATCGGCTTGCAAATAATGTAGGTGTGTATCCACAGATTGAAGAAAGAAAAGAATCGAAAACATTTGGTTCCATTTTTTTTTTTACTTTCAATCTATCCTGTGAGTCTTGAAGCAATATGGATGGAGTTATATTTTAATATATTTCACCGTTATACGTTATTTATATAAACAAATATTTAAGTAAATGCACTGCTTATGATATTGTATATTTACTTAAATATTTGTGTTTATAAATAACGTATAATAGTGAATTATATTAAATAATTGTCCGACATTCCATTTCGTAATATACGGAGTTATATACATATCACTCAATAGGGACTCAGTTCACAATGGAAAGTCAGTCAAAGATACTCCAGATGGGTGAAGAGTAGAATTAGCGGAGAATCTACAAGCAAAACATTCTGCTTCACACCTCAAATTGAATGATGAGGGGAGAGATAGAAGACTTACTCTTATTTAACACACTGTAGGGAGACCACAGTTGTTTTCTCTTTGCATTAGCCCATGAGAGTTGTGGCCCCTTTTAGTGAGTAGAACTCTTCTGTCTTTTTTTTTTGTCGTCACTTCCGTTTTGGGAGGAACGATCTCTTTTCCTTCCTGACCACCAGAGCGTCCACACACGTGGAAACTGGTCAACATGGGTATGGCCTAACGCAACAAACTCATTCACTCATCTGTGGACGACCAAAGGCCATGAAATTGGTAGGTGATATCTTTGTACTAATTCTGTTTAACCTCCTCGTTCCTTTGGGACAATATGGACATTTATTTGTTTTGGGACATGTATAAATCTTGTGTATATATTTACGAAGGCTGCTTGCCACATTAAATGTTTCATTGGTTACGCTCGCGTATTTCGTCTTTTCATATTCGCATTCAGTGTTAGTGTATCAATGGCTACGCTAATGCTAATATTAGTATCGGTGTGCTACTGAAGGCTAGAACGCGTTATTCTACCTAACATAGAATAATTAGTAAACTCCGTGTGGCAAAAACACACCTTATACTAATAACACTATTACAGCGTGACAAGTAGTCACTAGAGGCAAACTTGTTAGAAGCTATGAGGTATATTAATCTATCCATAAACAAATCTTAGCCTCTTTGAGAACAAGTTTACAATTGTTAAAAGTAGATACAAATAGGCGCTCACGTCATTCTCTTAAATTTTGTTTTACTTGCTGAGAGAATTATAAATATGGATAAAATCAGCGACTAAAAAATAATTCCAATCAATTTAAATACGTTTTGAAATACAGCAAAATATTTTGTTTATTGGAAATATTAAATTTAATATGTTAGCTTGAAATTACAAGTAAAATAAAAGCTTCAAGAAAGATTTTTCATTTCTAAAAGTTCATTTTAAACCGTAGGTATCTTTTTTTCTTCTGTTTTTGTGGAGGTACCTGCATTAAAGTTAGTACATTCCTCAAGAGCTTAGTCTCCACAACCCAAACATTGGATCCATTCTTCATGACCCCGAGAGTTTCCATATGCACCACAACAATAATGATGTTCTGATCTGAATTATAAAGCTAGGACACCCGGAATAGTTATAGCGACTGAACATGCCGGTGTGACCAAAGGAGAAGATTGT